AAGAAGAGCTAGTTTAATGAAGAAGTAGACATGCTGCACTAGCTGTTTGCAGGGCTCTGGTGCCAAAGGAAAAAGTTTGTCGTGAAACAGTCAGACAGTAATCAACCAACGGAAGCTGGCATGGACCTTTTGGGCTAAGCATTCATTTAGAGACATCTGCACTTCCTGGGCCTTCTTCCTTGTTCAAGTTGTCTGGTCCTTAATCTCTACGATTATCCACTTTCGCGGCTTCACACTAAGTATCAAATGTGCTACGACCTTCGGAAGTGATTTCCAACGCCTCTCTAGTTGCTCCGCCCACCAAAACTCAGAGACTCTTTTCCGTCTGAAGTTCTGTTTCTCCAACGCGTTTTTCGTTTTTTTTTTCACAGCTAGATGAGATTGGCCTTGGATGACACGATAAAAGGATTAATGAACTATATATTAATATTAATATATTATATTGATATTACTATATATTAACGAGCTATAGAGGTGGCAGAGTATAGCTTCGGTGGCATTAAACGAGCAGATCCGGAAAATTCGTCCAGAGAGGCCTCCAGGTCTTTTTTGGTTGTTCTCCATGATTTCTTCTCGCTTCATTCTTCCTCGAGTCACCTAGCGACTACAGATTTGTGCTTAAACACTACGCTTCACAATATTTAATCGCCGGGTTCGACTTTAACTTGTAGGCCCCTTCGAGTAGCTAAAAGGGCGCGGAACGTATGATTATTGAAGGCAGTGCCCGCGTTCAGTTGAGACTTTCCTCTCCCTTCCTATGCAGGTAGTCAGGTCCGCAGAGGCAGCGATTTCACCACTTTCGCGGCGCAAAAACGAGTGAGGAGGCCCACTATGCTTTGTTCCCTCATTGGCCCCGGCACCGCCCACCATTCATTTCTAATGGTTACCTGATGGTGCGGTTGTTTCGCTGCTGCTTCTCTCCACGTCGAGTGGTGAGAGTGAGGTGATAAGGGAAAACAGCTGATATCAACAAGTGAGAACTCGTGCGACCGCACCTTCTCTTCGCCTTGAGCACGTACAACCTCAGTTAAGCAAGGGGTTCTATATAGAGCCTTTCCTATGATTTCTTTCTGATTTTTCTTCACTAATGGGTTACTTGCTACCTTGCTGTAACTATCTGCGCCGCATAACTCATTAAATTTGCTTGCAGGCTCAGCCTTTAATCTACATGCTGATAGCCTAGCTTGCTGGCCTGGCGCGAACCACTAATTTGACTTAGCTTGTCACAAAATTTTCCTATAATTACTAAAAACTGTCAGACCGTCACAGTACAATCATTACCTTGAGTATCGCTTTCTGCCCTTTTATGTTGTGCTTGGAGTGATTTCCAGTACATTGCCCCTGCCATAAAACAAGATTTCAGGGTTGAGGGCGATAGGAGTTTCCTGAGAGAGCACTTCTGATTCCATGCCAGCTGATGAAATCGGAAGTGATTACTGGCCAACGGCTGCAAAACAGGCGATTCGATGAGACGGAAGTGAGGACGTTGGCAGGGCATCTTTTCAGCTGCGTAGGTACAGGTTCTCAATCAATATCAAATGGCACTAAATTTCGTTAGTTTGACTTCCCAATAGCCACTTTTGCAGGCGAGCGGATCCTAAGAGCCATTCCGCGATAAACAGGTGGGCGGAGACTTAGAACTGATGTGTTTGCTCATTAGTGCAGCACTCATCCGGTACAAAGGAGTTTCGTCACTTACTGCCCATCTAGGTGTCGCGAAATTGTCTTTAAGGGACTAATCATTCGTTCTTGATCTGCCAATGTTTTTGAAACGCGTTTTAAGCTCAATATAGCAAATCAGTATTGATTCGGAAAGAATATAGCCATTAGCTGAAGCAGTCCAGCAATGTTGTAGAGAAAGATAATAGTGGCTACTAGGCTCAGTAGCTAGACAGCGGTGAGGTGCTTCGGCGAGTGGGCCTAAGGTGTGGTCATGGGCCTATCTAGCCACGCGTGGTTTAGCGGCCATTCTTGCCCGTTTTTCAACATTTTGAAGAGCGCGGGCCTCAAAAATCGCACTGCCGGATTCGTCCGACAATTGAAGCAGGGTCATAGGCTCTTACTGTTTTTCGCGGGACATGTGCTTTTAAGCGCGACTAATAATACAATTCTTGCCCATTTCTTGTTGATCTGCCCATTTTTTTGACGTGCTTTTAAAGGCTTCATATAGTCTTAACTAATTGTAAGTCTCGCGTGTGAGCTCATGCAATTCTTCAATGTATTATTTCCAAAGGCAGGACCTAGACGAGCGAGCCACCCCCTATTAGCCTCACCACAGCTAGTCCTATTAGCTTTTTCATGAAAGACGTCAGTCTTCTGCTTGATTATTCGCAATTAAACTCTGTAGCTCAAGGTAAAGAAGCCAATTGGCAACCGTATTACATACTTACTTGCTAATCATCATAGCCACACAGTTTCTCCCGTGATTTTCATTTCCCTCAATAGCACGACACATAGTAGTTTGTTGAGCGTTGAGAGTGAGCTGCGAGCCAAGCGGTCAGAATGGAGTATTAACGAGACGACGTTTTCCTTGCGAACTGCCCTTGGATCGCTGCCTTTTCCTTAATGTTCTGAAAATCTCTATAAAAAGTAAAATAGTTCGTTGAAGGTCGCCAGGAAGTCTTGAAAGGAAAGACATTACAGTAATTGTTGTGGTCAAGTGGACGCTTCGATGAATAGTGGTCGCGTCGTGTGTCGCGTCGTGTTTTTCAGATAATTAGACCTAAGTTCAGTTTTGATGCAATCTCTGTAATGAGGTCATGGTCATTTTGCAAGCCTGAAAGAAAGCTGCGAGGTTTTATGGCAATACACCCACCAGGCCATGTCATCGCGATGAGAAAAATGGCAAAAATGTCCCCCCCCCCCCGAACTCGCAGAACCGACAGTGGAGAAGAAACATTCTCTTCAATCAATCGGAGGATGCATCAAAAGTGCGACGCCGCTTGCGCACCAAAGCCACCTGCACAGAGCGCGCTCGAAATGCTAAGTGTCAACCGAGTTGGACATTTTCCGCTCTCCCCCCCCCACCCTCTGAACCAGAAACTGATACAAGGCTTCTTCCTCTTGTAGAAGAATCTATAACGATGATTTCCCTCAGTGATTAATCGGCTAATTCTGAATCTTAGGCTAAAACCTAAGAAGGAAGCGAATATTGCTCTCATAGAGCTAGATTGATATAAACTCGAAATCCCTGAAGCAGTAGGCGTAGCTGCGTGCTTCACCTAAACGCAGCAGCGGTGTGCTTTTGGTGGGATGTTTCTATTCTTAAAGGCACTTGGCACGATGGTTTCCTACTTAGCCTAAAATGCTAGTAGGGCGCTGTATAGTGGGGAAATGGCGAAAGAACGGAGTGAAACGGTCAAAATCCTGCGAAGAAAAAGCCTCCGTTCTCAGTGACTTGTAAATCGATTTCGGACGAGTTTCCCGTAGGCATCTTACCAATCACCGCTACCGAAGATACGGCTGCATATGTGTACCCATTATGCAGCATCACGGCCGCTTCATACCAATCCCTTCGCTTCATAATTTGCTTAGCAAATGAATGAATACGAGCGTCAGGAACGGTCGTCCATTTGTGGGCGGGCGTTTGGGACGTAAAGTTGTGGCTTGATAGGGCCCTTATAAGGGCACCTTCCTCGGGGAAACCGCTATGCAGCGCCTGCCCAGGGTCGCGGAATTCTATCCTGCCAGGAGTATTGATCCTAGTCGTCTTGGGATTTATCGTGCCAACTGCCTTTAACACAATTGTGGTCGTGTCTCTGCCCAACACAGAACGATGACAGTTGTCTAAAACTGAAATATCCCAAGAGCAATCCTTCCTATGCCATTTTCAAATGTCACGCCTACCACATTTCAGGGATAAGAATTACACCATTCGAAGATGAACTGTACGTTCCCTCCCAAGAGAGGTCCTTGCGATGCCTGCGCGGTATGAATTGGTCCGCAGCTGCAGTGGCGTGTCCCTTTCTCCGCTCAAAAGTGCCCGTGTACGGGCTGGAGGGTAGTGATTAGGAGTCGGGGCCGGGTCTTCCAACTTCGCCCACGTTTTTCTCAGGGTGCAACATTTGCGTCGGTCCCAAATCCCGCGAACACGCGTCAGATGTAGAGGATAGCAGGAAGTTAGAGAGGGCGTGTTTGGCTATGTTCAGGTGCGTGTCTGGCCGTGTGGCGCGAGCGAATCGGGAGACGGTATCCGGTATTACGAAATTCCACCTCCCGCTCCAGTGCACTTTTGAACTGAGAAAGTGGCACTTTACTGCAGCTGCGACCCATTCGCCTCGCAAATGGCAAGGACCAAGATTCACGGGAGCGAGCGTACGTTTAGATCTCTTTGACGATATGCCGTACGCTGAAGATTGCTTAGCGCCAGAGGCCTCTAGCCGAGTTAACTTACTCTAAAGTAAGATAACGCGTTTATTACTCCCTTACTCTTTACAGGACACGTTACAGTGTAGGGGGTCGTACTGGAGAAAAAGTACCATCGCATACCCCAAACGTCAGAAGAAATATGTCCTATTTTCCCCCAAGTAATAGCTCCATACCATTTGCAGGTTATCGAGCAATTTAGATCGCCGCATCAATTTCCGTTTCATGGCATGCCCATCCCTTGACTGACCTTCCCTTCCTATCGTGCGACTGCAACCGATGAACCTTGAAAAGAACAACCCTGCATAAGGGCAATGGTCATAAGTACAGAGTAAACATCATCTTACAGTACATTTTAATGTCTACAGAAAATCAGATGGTCTCTTATTTACGAATTCAGTTCAGAATCGAATCACTGACCCTGTGTGAAATCTATACTTGCTCTCAAGGTGAGATATAGTTCAAAAATGCTGACCCTCCCCCGCGCCAAGGACACGTTAGCGACGCCGCCGCTTCAATCTCTGTTACAATAAGCCCTTCGCCCAATCGCCCTTCGTTACTTCAAGAAAGGAAAAAAGTGATGGCGACTGTAGCTATAAAAGCGCCATCACGCTCTGTTTTGTCGGCACTTCACCATGCACCTATTGTTGGCCTTCACTGCTTTACTGGCTTCTGCCCAAGCTTTCCTATTCGGAGGCTTGAGTTCACTATTCGGTGGAGGATGTAATCCTTGTGCTCAACAAGGTTATTCTGCCCCAGCTTATTCTGGCTATCAAGCAGCAGCTCCAGCTTATTCCGGTTACCAAGCAGCAGCACCAGCCTACTCAGGTTACTCACAACAAGCTTCATATGGAGGATATGGTCAAGGCTCCTCTTATGGAGGATATGGCTCTGGCTATGGTGGAGGTGCCAACTATGGCGGAAGCTCCGGCTACGTCGGAGGCTCTGGCTATGGTGGAGGTGCCAACTATGGTGGAAGCTCTGGCTACGTTGGAGGATCTGGCTATGGAGGAGGAGCCCACTATGGTGGAGGCTCTGGCTACGGTGGAGGCTCCGGTTATGGTGGAGGTGCCAACTATGGTGGAGGCTCTGGCTACGGTGGAGGCTCCGGTTATGGTGGAGGAGCTGGATATTCTGGAGGTGGATATGCCCAAGGTCCATCTTATGGAAACCGTGGTTACCAGTCTTTCGGTGGTAACCACCAAACGTCGTATGGCCACCAATCTTACGGCAGAGGATATCAGCAACCAGCACCAACTTTTGACGAGCCAGCCCCAGTAGTATCGCCCGGATCCGGAGCTTACGCTCAGCCAGCTGCCCCTGTCTACCAAGGCTCACGCCATTCCACCTACACTGCCCAAGAAATTGTGAGTGATACTGTAAAATACTGAATGTTTTCTGTTACTTAAGCCTATTTTGGAACAATTGAGTTATTATTGCAATAAATAAACTAATACAGGCTCCACCCGCACCGCCTCCAGTGAGCTCTTACCACCAGCCTACTGCTCCAGTCTCCGTCGTTGAGAAGGTAATCGTTGACTTCAAAAAAGTTAATCTATTGAAATGTACATATCGACGTTCTGTTAAGGTTACTGAAGTAGTCGCACCGCCTGCAACCTCATACTCCAAATCTGGTCCAGCTGTACCAGAAGTCTCTAGCGGTTATTGATGAATGGAATCTCAGCATTTCGTCGATCTTTTCATAACACCTCAGGAATGCAACGTATCGTTGCTACACTTAACGATAAATGCTCATAAACTGTCTTTTATGTGCATATCATTTTACCGAATATTCTGGAAGTGCCTGATATTTTGGAACCCGTGTAAGAAAATCCTCGTAATAATGAGCTTTTTGGAATAAAGTAAGTAAGCTACCACGGAATGACGAGTTTTTCTCTGTGTAGAAGTGCTTTCCGCGAACTTGGCTATGAATAAAACAGCCGTTGCTGTGAGCTGATTGCGTGAGCTGCGATGCACTGATGTGAAAGTGACGATGAAATTCCCGGAACTCAGAAAAAAGCCCACCTTATAAGTACACCAAAAGTAAGCTCATATAGTTGTTTGATTTGATAGCATACAAGCATGATAAGTTGCGCATTCCTGCAAGGCCCAAGTTACCAGGGTTAGTAGGGGAGTATGCCAGATCCCAGTACCCGGAACTCTTGAAAATGCAAGGCCTTCGGGCGCAGTTTGGTTTGGTGGGGGCACTTTGCTTTCCCATCGATCAGCGACGGGGCATCTGATGGAGACCTGTAAAGAGACGTAGTAAGCCAACAAGAACTAGTAATAGGAGCCAGCAAGCTAGAAAGTGCCGCTTCACCCCCACCCCTATGCCAAATAGCTTCAACTTCGCTTATGATCTTGCTTCTGCTTTTTGAATGTTGTTTTGGCGAGAAAGAAGGGGAAGACAGTTCTTTTAAAATTGGCAGAGCGGATTTGGCCAGCTTATACCTCCTCCCCCGGCCCCTTGTCTGGGCTTATGGGATCCGAGCCCTAATGCGGTAGTACATGATACATGTAGGCGAAAAGGCGTGTGACGATGGAGAGCAGCTATAGCGCCCTTTTTCCACCAATGATGCCATTCTCGGCCCGCTACAACTGGGAGAAACGTGGTCTGGTTGCGCTCCGAGCCATGTACCGTGAGACGCCTTATCGTTTGCAATGATCATGGTTGTAATAGTTATGTAGATCTAGTACATCATTGAATTTTTCCCGGCTTTTCAATCCGGAAACCCTTGCTGCATTGAGCAATAACTGAATTGTACGTCATAGATGAGGTTAGGCGGTGTCATTACGTCTTCACGTAAGTGACGATAATCGCTCTAAGAGAGCAATCCCATTATAAAGTCCAGAGACCATCGGACTACAAAACCAATTAATAACACCTGTGACCTTCTTCGTGGCCTTTCAGTGCCGTATCTCTTCCTTTGGTAACTGGGGCACTGATCAAAAACACATGCTCGTTTTTTATCTAATACATCATCAAGAAAACCTTGCGCCGTATTCAAAAAAAGTGCTGCGAACAAGTAATCGATAATCGTGCAGCCACAAAGTGATATTCACCAAAGTTTGTTCAAACATATTTCTAGTCATTCTCTTCGTGAGCAAAGTTGCCTTTCTACACCAACCCTCAAGAAAAGGTGGACATGCTCCGAACAACGTCTGAAGGAGACTTAAGAAGAAAAAAAAGCGGTCCCCTCTGCATTTGGCGCTGGATTGCGAATTCATGGCGTACCCTAGCTCTGATCATGGTGTTCTTCCAATCCATTGAAAGCAGCTTCAGCTACACTGAATGCATTTAATTACACATAAATACACACCATGATCACTACAAAACCCGCGGCATCTACAGATAGAGCCCCTGGATACATACAGAAATCTACCCTTTATAATTCCGTTGATCTACTTCTTTCTCTAGAGAGCAAGGGTTTTTGAGTGGCGAAATGAGATTAAATCTTTTCTTGGTGGGCCGACTGCATATATCGCCGTTTCTATCACAACATACAGAGACGGTAATCAAAAGGTGTGGTCAGCTACTAGCCCTTTCAAGTACCTCTCAAGGACAGCATTTGAATCTGGTCAATCTTTACCAGTTTGTGCAACTACATATCTCCATTTGAAGCCTTGGACAGTGAAACATCACAAATATTCCTACGCTACATGTCTCTAAATGAGCTGAGTGCCAAAGTGAGCCCTGCTCGATAAACCAGTATCCTCTCAGTACAACATATCCTGAACTGTCGTACGTGCCATTCGTACTAACTAAATTTGGCCCACCGTCTTGGTAGAGGATGATCTCTCACTCAGATCCATGGAGGCAGTCTGTCTGCTTCTCCCAAAACCTATGCTGGCATAGTGCCAACAATATTTAGTGTTCTCCGACGTGAACTATTGGCCTGAGATAATTTGTATCCTTTTGACTTCACCTTTAGTCAATTACTTGTGATGCATCTCTTTTTTGAAGTGGACGTGTTCCGCTTCGTAGTAGTGCATTGTTCTCGGGTCCAAATTTGCAGTGTAATACGGTGCAGATGCTTGATAGTAGATTTTTCTTCATTTTAATTTAGTGGTCATTTTGAGTTTGAGTCGCACAAGGTGGTCAGGTACACAGGAGCGGTGCCCTCTACCGTAACGAGACGTCCATCGTTGCAGTCGAGGTCAAGAAGGTCATCAGAGGAGAGTTAGACTTAGAGAGGCCACCAAATGGTACTCAGCTAGGCTTCTACAGGTCAACTTGTGAAACCTGTCAATTTATACAACCAAAGTTACTGACTAGTACCATACCGCAGCTTCACAAGAGATCACAGGTCTCACCAAAATCAAACCTGTTGTTGTATATGAACTAACAAAAGCGAGAGAGAGGAAGTACGAAATGTTCCCTTCAAGCCGGACAGCTTTGGCTGACCTTACTTGCCGTAGCTGCGTAATTCCCAGAGTTATGTCACTTACGTGTAGATTCCTAGAGGCTGCCTATCAATTGACCAGTCAAGTTTGTTGTCTAACTTCCTGGCATCCCAAGCACGTATTTTTGGGAGAAGGAGGGGGTCGTATGTCCCTTTGAGAGAAAGTTGCCACTTTGGGAAAAAAAATTTTCCTGGTCGTTGACTTTACGCGTGATTTTGTCTGTTTCATGCGTACATATACCCCATTCCCGCTCGAAGGAAAATCTTTGGGAGAAAAACTGGAAAATGTGGGAAACTGGTAGGTGGTATTGGGGGGGGGGGGAAGGGGCGGGGCTCGTACCGAGCTCCTAATTTAGGTGGGGGGGGAGTGGTACTGACACCCTCTCTCCAGGGGGAGGGGTCGTACTGACGCCACTATTTCACACATCCCGATGCTGTACCCTAGCTACCATGCCTCTTCCTGTTGCAGTGTTAGACCGCTGAAGCAACAAGTATTTGATAGAGGAGGCTGCGATCCAGTAGCTCAGAATAGGAGTCACTAACTACAACTCTAACTTTACTGGAATACAGTTACAGCTCCTTCCTGAGTCTCGCCTGCAGTATGACGCTCGCTTGTGGTTGCATACCCCACACCGTTGCCCGGCTCTCAATATCAATTGTAAAATATCTCATGAAAACATGATGGCACCTTGAAAAGTTAAGTGGTAACTGTGACACAACTATTCATTAATCCATTCCTCTTCATTCTACAGGCCATTCAAATTGAAAATCGCTCGCTCGATTTAGCACTGCTTTCGATTTTTTATAAATATAACATCGGGGTGGATTCTCAGACATAAGCGCGATTGTAGAGAGAAGTGTAAAACTACCTGAAAAAACAGTCGGTACGCTCAAAGTGATTTATTGACAAACTGGATGAGTCGTGCAAATCTGAACGTGCACGCATAACATTCTGTAGCTATATGTTCATGATGAATCACTCACTTTACTTTCTCGCGATACACTACAAAGTCTATATAAAAATAAGTAGAGACAGAAACATAAGAGTGATAGTAAGTCCACTAAAATATAACGAAGATCAAAAAGCAACAAAAAAAATACGATTGGCTAGCTAACCCCTTTTGGCACGAGGTGGGTCGAGCGTTTCCTGTAACTCAAGATTTCTCTAGTCAACAACAAGAATTACTACCTATATAAAGTTCCCGTGAACACGACTCTGCTTGTTCTTTCAGCGCTGTATGGGACACCCGATTGTATAAATTAATAAGTAGGATTAGGAAAAGTGTTTTCTGGAATGCGTGACAGCCCAGATTAGTAATATCACTTCAAAAGGTTTACCTAGGAGATGGTTCAGGGCTATTCAAAGGACTAAGGGATTCAAAATAGCCGTATGTGACCGAATCTCTGTCCAGCAGTGTTGATTATTGACACAAAAGATTCCCAAATAAAAGCTTGTTCGCTGCGGATGATGAGGCGTGTCAAGGGGAGGGGAGATGGCTTCGGCGCAGTGCCAGCCCGTTCTATTTCTTTTAGTCTTTCGACAAAACTGTACCAGATCGTTCTATCAGAAAGTTTCCCATCAACTGTTGTCGCCTCCCATTTGAGCAATCACTCGAGAACGGGCTGGCGGCGCGCCAAACCCAACATCGCTGACACGTCCCTTCAACGAAGAACACTGTCTCCAGGAGCCACCTCATTCATGAGACACAACTTCATTACCCTTTCATGGATGCTATCCTGAAAGAAATAGTCCTGGCACTAAGGCTCATCTGAATTTCCACGGTAAGTTACCGAAAGAATGTGGAACAAAAACTCATGGAGTTAGTTGAAAAACCGAAAAGTGATAAGCTTTGAATAGAGGGCGGGGTAAAAAACAAAGAGGAAGCCCAGGTTCCGTTTTCCTTCTCCTTCTGTGTTCTTCGTCAATGGAAGGAAGTAAATTTGGATTCCAAGGATTTCCCAAAAAGCAGAGATCAAAAAAGAGGAGGTTGACA